GAAAGAAAGAAAGAAAGAAAGAAAGAAAGAAAGAAAGAAAGAAAGAAAGAAAGAAAGAAAGAAAGAGGAAACACGACAACTAAATGGTCCCACGACGCCTTCAAGATTTGGTCTTGCCAGACCCAATATTTTGCTTCTGTAGAAATCCAAATAAAACATAACGCTCCTTCACCTGGATAATAATGTCTCTCTCCCCTCTCCAAACTGGCAGTAAAGGCACAGTTGTCACCTTCGCCCAGTTGATTGGGGTGCACTGGGAGTGGTGGGGGCAAAGGGGTCACCTCTTTTTCGGACCAGTCAAACGAGAGATACTTATGGGAGGGGGGCGGAAGGCTCGAGAAAGCTGACCCAGGGCCGATCTGTTTTTGAGCATTTATTTTCTCTGAATAAATATATTTGCGATTAGATTTGAGATGATGGGGAGAATGATAGTAGTAATTATTATTTCCAGCTTTCAAGACCTTCTCCCGTACTTCAGGACCACAAAGTAACCTGCAAGGGAGTCTCAGTTCAGGAAAGAGCTCTCTCAGTTTTGTCTTTCGTTCCTACGCTTAATTATTTCATTTTTTCCCCTCCCCCTCCTCCCCATTCCTGCTTCCAGGGATAAGAACCGAACAGGATTTTTATGTCCGTTTAATCGACTCCATGACAAAACAAGTAAGTCCTGCGTTCGTTCGTTTTCCTGTGAAATGTTCAAAGTGGCGGAAGGCCGAGGTGATCGTGGCGGGGGCTTTGCAGGCGGAGGCGTTTAGGGAGTTTTGCGCTGGAAACCGAAAAGGCCGAGTTGGAAGAAGCTTGAGAATGGTGGAAGCCGCGAAACGGTCGGTTTAGTTAGGTGGCTGCAAGTCTGGATTACACCGGGATCTCTAGGAGAGGGCCAGGCCGATGTCGGGTAGTCGGGGTGAGAGGAAAGGCGGAGATCAAAACACGGGAGGTTGCCTCCTCTTATGCGCCGAGACAGGCCGTCCATCCCGGCCTTCTTCCTGTTGGAAAATCCAGCAAGTTCACAAACCAGATTAGCGCGGGCGCGCGCGCGCTACAAAGTCCAAGGGAAGTTCGATCGGCTGGTCTCTTCTCTTCTCCCTCCGTCCCTTACATCCCGTTCAGCTCACGTCCTGTTCGGTTCTAGCCAGGTTTAGGCAGAATTTGTTTCAAAGAGATTATTCCCAAGTATTTGTGCGCCTTAACAGTGGAATGGGGTTAGAGTAGGACCCAAACCCCCATTCTCTCTGGTATGGAGAGGGAAAAAGAGAAGTGGCAGAGTTTGACAATTTAAAACCAAAGTTTTCAGAACCGCCTCATCTTCTGCCAGGGAGGGAGGAGTCCCCCTTCCCTCAGTTCCATCCAGAGGTTTCCCAGCCCAAATTCCCAGCCTCTTGAAAATCTCGGACGGTGAATGAAAAAGTCCAGCGAGGCGGACGGAGAGGAACGACGCTTTCCTCCTAGCGGATCATTGCTGAAGTCGACTCTTAAAGGAGAAACCCCCCCCCCCATGTGCATTGATTTATCGCCTTAAGCGACCCGCTCAATTGAGGCAGAAGCCCTCGCTGAATCGGACCTTTGGCGTAGCTAGGGAAGCGCCTCCTGTTCTCGGTTTTAGATTGGCCAGGAGCCAGGGCGGGGTGAACCAACCGCGGTCTTAAAGGTACAGGATCACCGTGGCTCTCGCCAAGCCCCTTCGGTGGGCGAGGGCCAAGAAGCAGCTGAGATCGGATTACAGTGTGTGCGCGCGCGCGCGCAGGGAGGAATTACTTTTAGGGCAAACGGTATTAATTTTGCCTGCCTATCTCCCCTCCCCCCTCCTTAGACACGGTAGCGGTTTACCGAAAAATAAATAAATGGCAGCTTCTGATTCCCCTGAAGGCTCTCAGATCACAGAATTCTCCCCCCCCCTTAATTATATGAACGAAAAGAAATAGAAAACAAACCAGGAAAAGCAACCAACACTCCCCTCCCCAGCCAAGCAATATTGTAGCTAGCTAATGTAGCCAGTATTTATATGCTCCTTTGCAATTCCTGTGTTAGTATTTTAAGGGCAGCTCTTAAATCTCAGTGGATTTGCAGTCGGATGTACCATGGATGATAAATGCTTACTTTAGAAACTTAATGCTTGAAAATAATTTTGTGATTGGAAAAGCTCTGCCTTTGATACAGTCTAATTTTCACTATGGCATTTTAATTGCGTTTATGTTTAATGCCCTACAATTGTGGTTTCAAGTAAAAACCTGCATACCTCTACACATACAGAAAAATGAGCTAAAGGAGACCATTTTGCTCCTCTAAATCCCAGCATTGTTGTGCAATTGTAAACAATTGTTGTAAAAAATTAAGAGATTTCATGTTTTTATAGGATAACTTGATAATTTTTAATTTTTAAAAATCAGATCTGTTCAACTTCAGGTTAATGTTCTGAACGTTATTAAATAAGTTATGTGATTTCATCTGAATTCAGTTTTTTTTTTTTTTTACAAACAGAGGGAGATTTAGTTTCTTTTTTCTTTTGCTTATTGCATTCACACATATGGTCACAAACCAGATTTTGAGTGTTTCACTCTAAACTTTCATTTGTTTTTGGTAGCTTTCTGACACCAAACCAGAAAGGTCAAAGTGCTGAATTTGTTTTAGAATGTTGTCTTTGATGCTCACGAAACATCTTTTCCTGTTATTGATGGCTGTCTTACAATAGAGGAGAAAAGAAAGAAATGGGCTAGTTACACTGGACAATTCCAACATTTAATAAAATTAGTGAAACAAATTCTTTTGAAATACAGTCAATAAGGACTAACAGCAGAATGACTTCCAGTCCTTAAACAACAAATCTTAAAAACTGCACTAGTTGATATTAATTTATAAGCTTGTATTTAAAGAGGGCCTCTCACTGTTCTGAGACACTGTGTCCTGTATGAGTGTAATTGTATAAACCTGTCTGAAAAAAACCCCATATAACTGAGCCATTTTCAAATTGTAGTCATTGAAGAGTTAATGCTCTTTCCTTTCAAGATTGTGTTTTTCTGTAGAAAGCCATGTTTTGAGCTTCCATGGTTTTAAAACACCTGTTTCTTAGCATTTTGTTCATGACTGCATGATTGTCAATTCACCTGCAGATTTCTTGTGGAAAAGTAAAACAGGAATGGTTACACTGCTTCCATTCTGTGGTTTCCACAAGATCAAGTTTAGTTATAACACTTGGAATACAGATACAAACTATCACCCACTTAATAGCAATCAGCCTTTTACTTTAAAGTATTTTACATTTAACCCTAACATTAGGACAAATTATTGATTTGGGAGGAAGAGGAAAGGGGATGGGATAACAGAACAAGATTGCAGAATAACAGTTTTAGGGAATAAAATCCAGAGCTGAGTAATAAAGTTGATAAAAAAAGGGAGGAGGATTTGAAATTCCCTATTGAGATGTGGCTGATGAGAATGCCAAGCTGGTAGAGACAAATGTTGATTTTTTAATTAAAAGCATGAGCTTAGCTGGCACTGTCATATATTTATAAAAAAAACCATATGTTTTAATCTCTGGTTATATCAAGGAGCTCCTTGTTATATGTTTAGTGTTTCTGGATAGCAAAAAGACTTGATCTCTCTCTCTCTCTCTCTCTCTCTTTTTTTTTTTTTTTACTCAAACTAAATATGTTTTGGAGATCTTGAAACTTCTATCCTAGTTAATCAAGCACCTTGTAAGGCCGGTCAAGTAGTGTGTTGAATTGTCCACATGTGAAGTTGTCACTTATGCTTTAATACAGAATGTGAGGAATATAGGAGAGTCTCAAGTAACTTTCTGCTTGGAATTAAGTTGTATGCAGCTTGGTCAAACATTCCTTAAATTTTTAATGCATTTTAAATATATGTTGTCAAGCATCGTAGAGAAGTGGTACACTAGTACCTGAATCTTGGCACAAATTGTAATGGAAGGATGGCTGCTAAATGAAATGGTGACAGGAGCTGGCAGGCTTCAGTGGTATGGTATCAGCAAGTGACATGCTCAGTTGTAGTCGTCAGCAACAACTTTCTGAGATCACACGCTATTTCATGTGCAGCTTTAATGATTTTCATAAATATATTCAGCAAAGTTAAGATAGGCAGGGCTCCAGAGGCCTTCCCTTTTACACTGATCAGGCCCTTTTGCTCACATATCCCTAGTGAGCAAAGGGGCCTGATCTGTGTAAAGGGAAGGACTAGTTTTATTTTTAAATTTGTAGTGGTGATGTCAGATGCATATTCCACAACTTAAGTAATTGAATCATGAAACCACCTGATTTTATAAATTAACTTAATCTTTCTCCATAACTGGATATATTTGTTTCTTTCTAAAGCATTTGCATGTATTTTATCATTTATGGTTCATCTACATTCTTATTTATTGTATTATTTATTCATTTTCTTTGTTCTATCTGCCTGGTGCTGTGCTTGTGGCTGTCTGTAAGAAAATCATGGAAAAATGCTGTGCTTGAGAAGTTGCTATCTAAACAGTTCTGGGGAATCATGAATATTATACAAACATTAGCAATATCTTTGCAACAACCTATATTTAGGGAAGAAAGCTGGAAACAGTTCCCTCAGTAAGTCTTGGCAGGTCTGAATACAGCCATTGATGTTATATAGCAGTGTTTTTCAAACTTGGGTACTTTAAGATGTGTGGACTTCAACATTCAGAATTCTGACTGGGGAATTCTGGGAGCTGAAGTCCACACATCTTAAAGTTCCCAAGTTTGAAAAACACTGCTATATAGGAAACAGGAATAAACTGGCTTATCTTGAGAAGCTAGATTAGGGTTGGATAGGGGAAGACTAGAAATCTCAAGGTGGTAAACTAGATTGGGAAGTAAAAAAAAAAAGAAAGAAATCCAGAAGAAGGCAATGGCAAACCATTTCTGCATTCATAGAGTATAGATTTTCATGGCTGCCATTTCTTGTTACATTTAGTTCTGCATTTTTGTCAAGCATGCATCCATGATGTCCCCAGAAGTCAAGCTCAACTCAATAGAGAATTTTGACTGGAACTTTAGTAACATTATTCAGATAGAGTTTTGTCATTGTGAGAGCTCATTCAGGGCTAATGAATGAAAATTCTGTCTTTGTGTGTATACTCTTTTTCCTGAACTTGGATCAGAGTGAGTGAAATTTTAATAATGGTGTGAACCAAAATATCACTTTGTGCATCAATGGCTTCCTTGCCAATTCAGCACTGGAATAATGTGAAGGCAGAAACCCAGTCAAGACCAATCATTGATTCTTTTTTTTCCAAATACCATATCAGAAAGTAGAGTTCCCTCCAACACAGCCTAAACGTGGACATAAATCCAGCTGATTTCAGAATATTCTTCTTTGTAGCATGTAAGGCAGTCAAGATGCTCTGTCATGTCATCTGTGGTACTTAAAACCCTCTGTGTCATTTACAGCAGGGATGCAAATTCTGCAGTGCTTTCTACCTAAATTTATTAAACTGTTGTGCCTGTGGGCCCAGATACTGAATCACCACTCTGTACAGTGGATTGCAAGTGGTAAAATCATGAAGAAAATATGAATCCGTTCAGAAAACAGCTCCTCAGGATCCAAGCTGTGGAGCACAACACTCTTTTGCAACGAGGAAAGCTTGCAATTCAGCCAGGTTTTTGCAGTGACTTGAATCCTTCTGCTTAAAGAGC